TGCAAGTTGCACAGTTTGTACTCGCCAGGCATTTTGTTTTTGAGGGCAGAGCCATGTAAAAATTACTTGGTTCAGCTATGGTAAACAGATACGGTGAGGCACAAAAAACGTGGAAAGTACGCAGCCCAATCTATCTGCAGCGACTCAAACTAAAATGTAGAGCTTCCTAATGCTTCCAAGAGATGGCGCAAGTTGTAAAATTGGGATAAGCATGTCCGAGCGACTGCTCAGGGAGATGCCAGATTTATCACTACAAGTGGGATGCATATGTCCCAGTGGTAAACAAAAAAAGCTAAATTTCTTTCAAGGACACCTTGTTTTTCAAATAAATGCAGTAATAAATTGTCGCCATGCTCGACATTATGCAACAATGTTATCTTCATTATATATATAAAAAAAGATGTTCTTTCAACCGTCATTTAAGCTATCCTGAAGCTCAAGGAGTGTTTCATAAAACTGCAATTCCGCAACGATTTGCAGGCGGGGTAGAAGCATGTGAAGGGCATTGCCAAGACTCGCTGCAAAAGCAATGTTAGGTCTGCTAATGTCCATGTGTGGCCTTGTGCACGTGTTTGCCTTTATCCTGTGGGATCCTGCAAACTCCTCTCGTGTACGAGTTTGTCGAGCCCTCAAACAGTCTCGTTTGGCAGGAGGGGGCCTCGACTGCTGTGACGTCAACACCCTCTGCCCTACACCTCCATTTCTATGCATAGGATTAGCATCTGTTGGTGACGCTCCTTGAGAGGCTGATGTGCCTGGTGGTACCAATTGCTCCGGTGTGGGCAACTGGCCGCTCTCCTCCAGTTCCAGCAGCGCCAAGCATGCTGCCGATGGTTCGAGGTCACCTAAATCCTGCAGGGGAAATCGCTTGAACAGAACGCAGAAACGGGAATGCAAACTGCTACATAACTCGCTTGTGTGGAACTTCCACACAGCAAAAAAAAAAAAAAAAAAAAAAAAGATATGCTTTTCAGGAATACTTTTTTTTAAATTAAATATTGGGGTTAGGGGGCTGAAATATGCCCAGCTAGTAGAAATCGGGCTCCTCTTTTCATTCACGCAATCCGTTCGCTGATAGCTGTTCTGGTTCAATATCTGTGCTGCATGACATGCATAAAAAGTACCAGTATTGTGCACACAATGTTTCCTGCTAATTATAAAGGTAAAGCAGCCTAAATAGCCAGGTTGGTTCCCCAATAACTAGTGTGAATATCTATTTGAATCAGCAATACCTAAAATATTTTTTTATATAAAATTTAGAAAAGTTTGTCAGTATTTTTAAAATTTCACTTTTTGTTTAGTATTTAAAAACGAAAAGTTGTTGTACTTACGTTATAACTAACAAGATTTGCACACTCTGTGCAGCCTTAGAAACAGCTGTGTAAAATTTCATTGTGATTTGACAACTAGAGGAAACGGGCAAAAACACTGTAGAGAATATGTTATATGTTTATATGTTTATATGTTTTGTATTACCCCACAAGCTTCCCCCCCTTATGTATTGCCCCACAGGGCCCTTAAGGAGAAATAAATGAAATGAAAAACACATTTCAAAGTCTATTGTTATGCTAGATACCAAACTTGCCACTCCAACTGCACGAAACTTGAGGCTGACATAGTCCAAAATGTCTATCGTTGGATCCCCAGACTAAAATTCTCCCGCAGCATAGGTAGCGCCCTCACGGTCTTTGTGCTTAGAGTCCTTTGCACGAGCATGCTTCTCCTGATGGCGTCGATGGGATCTCGCTTCAGCGGTCAGCTTCGGAGACAGGCTTGTTCCCCTCTTCTAGTCAGCTGCACTGCTCAGACGGACCAGCTGCTTGGAAGGGAGGACTCCTAGCCCTTCCAGAACTTGCTCAAGGCTGGAGTGGCCCCTATCGAACCATAGCGCAGCAATGGCGGTGGCAGTCTCCACCGTAGTCCGTGCAGCAAAGTGGGTCTTAGGGCACAGCATCCAAATCTCGGTGTTCAAGGACTCAGTAGCATTCTTCATCTTCCCTGCGGACAGCGAGCAAGGAGCTTGATGTCTGTCAACCACTGGTAAATGGAAAGCACTGCCTTCCCTTGTGCTTTGGTGAGGAAGGGTGTGTGGGCCGGAGCTGGTGGTTGCAGAGCTATTGCCCTCTTATGCTTGCACCAAGACTCCTCCCCTTCATGGCAGAACTTGTGGCTGCTGGCTCTGTCAGTCGAGCATGAGGGAAAAAAGGATGCCCAGATTGCACAGTACATCCCTCGCACACTCCCTCGGTTGCTGGTGATGGCACTTTGGTAGTACTGCTGCAGCTGTAGAATGGTCTTGTCGCCAAGCTTCTCCCCACGTGGTAGAGGCGTCTTTAGCTTCCTCAGGGCTGTTCCAAGACGCTTGGCAACATGGTTCATACAGTCCTCCTTCGTCACCGCGGTAGACCCATACACCTCTGCATTTGACACTACCGCGTACGCATTGCTGTCTCCGTCGCTGAGGGATGTTGTAAACTGCAAGTCCGTGTTGTATGTCTGTGTCCTATTCCAGATACGTAGAGGTGCTGCAGTTTTTATTGCATGTGATGAGCAGTCTACGTTCTTCTCGCACACAAGAGAATGAAATGCCTGCCACACTGCAGCCCTGGCAGTAGTCCTACAGCACCTCGAAATCCAGGCAGAGGCCTGTGTCCACAGAAATGGCAGTGCCAATGCCATTGTGGCTCTTATGTCCCCGTTTCTGCCACGTCCCGTCAAACATCACGGCGATGTCGCTCTGACCCGCTTCAGACGCAGTTGCTCGCCTTGCTTCTGCAAGGTTGTCAGAGACGGCTTTGGTGGCAGCAGCGTGGACTTTTTTCGAGATGTTGTGGAACGTTTCTTGATGGAGCGGTTTGGGGAGACCGAGGATGCCACAAAATCTAACCAGCTGGTCGTGACTGACACTACTTTCATGTTGAATGCAAAGGTGTCGTGGGCGCTTCCACTGCTTTGTTTAGGGTCGCGCATTTCACGGCCGGCGGCGGTCGCACGATGTGGTTTATATGCAGCTGAAAGAACTTCGGGAGGGCATGCAACGCTCGTGCATTTGAGTTCCAGCAAAGATGCAAGGCCGTTGCGTTTGTTTTCAACTTCCACAACGGAAATTTTGCTCTTGCCGCATGTCCCCCACGTCGCGCCGCTCACAAGTTGCGTAAGGGTTTGACTTTCGCAGATAACGGCGTTTCCGCCGCTTCCTTTCTCAATGGTTTCATTGCAAAATGTCATCTGCTTCTTTCCCGAAGCACTTTCGGAGTACGACAAGTCGTTGATGAACTCCGAAGCGCTCTGTTGCTCGGCGCTTGCGGTGCTCGAAGGCGCGTTGGGCGCGTCGCCATTCTGCTCGAGCGGTAGGTCCCTGGGTGGGTCCATCGCATTTGTCCCTTTTGTGCGTTTGCTTTCGCCTTCCCTTGAACGGGCGCAGTGGCCGACTCTTCCGGAGTCGAAGGTGGCCTTTCTCGTCGCCATCGATCGTGAAAAACGCTCAATAGTCGCAGAAACCATAGTTCTCGTTTCAGATAGCGTGCGACGCGATACAATTGGCAAAGATGCGCTAGCTTCACTGCATGGTTCGTTAGGGTGTTAGCAAATAGCAGTACCACATTTATGTCCCGTAGTTCCTGAAGGCTCGTCGGGACGCGGGAAAATGTTTTTTTTATTATTATTTCTACCGCTAGTACGAAACTGTGGTAGGAGTCAACGGAAATGAAGGCTTATTCCTCCTGGTCGAAGTGACGGCAACAATGGCTGACGCAAACTTTGGGAGAGACGCGAGCTCGAAAAACCTCGTAAGTGACAAACTTCTCCATTTTTGTGAGTCGCGGTAAAGGCCCGTTCACACTCTTGCGACCGAGTAAGACCGAGAGAGACCAGACCGGTTTTCAAGCCTCTTGCAATCTCTTAGGACCAGCTCCGCTGCATCGCATCCGGTCCTAAGAAGTCGCAAAAGGCTTAAAAACCGGTCTGGTCTCTCTCGGTCGCAAGAGTGTAAACAGCGCTTGAGGCGTTCAAGTTTTTTTGTTTTTTTTGTAACTTCTAGGCCGAATTTTGTAACAATTCTTTTTTATATGAAACTAGAAGGCATACAGATTGCAAAAACATTAAAAAACAAAAATCTGAACTTTGAGCCGAAGCGTCGATTGCTCGGTTCACTTGACAGTAGCAATAAGAAAGGGCAGAGGCAGCATCACAGCTCTAGAAACTCCGGGTATTGTAGAATGGACAGTCTTCAGCGATATGAGGGGCCCATTGGAAACACGTGGCCAAGACAGTGACTGGCAGGGGTGCGACATGCCTTGTGGACAGCTTCACATTGTTCCACATAGAATGAAATGCGATAATGAAACTAGTTGAATCAGTGCACTAGGGCTGAAGAGATTTATCACTTCTGGGCACCATAGAATTTCCTTAAGTGAGAGTATCCTAGCCTCTGTCTTTCCAGTGCGCTCGGAGTGTGTTTAGCATATTGCTGGAGACTGCGTCACTATAAATAGAATTCCTTTTTTAGGAGGCTTTTTTGTTTTCACATCAGAGTTTTCTAGGGTCTTTCTTTTCCCACAAATTGTTCCAAATTTTCTGGTGTTAATCTTGGGTGTCAGACAAAATATGGCTGCTTGTTGGGGCTTATGTTTGGGGAACGACACATCGGCATGGATTGCCCCAACCTCTGGGGAAATGCATGGGACCCGAATACCTCGGAAACATTCCGTACCAATAAAAAAAAAAGGAACTAGATAAGGGGTGTTCCAAAGATACCAGGGACGTAAACAGTTAATTGGGGAGTGTGTTCTAACACCGTAAAATAAAGCAGCACAGAACTATTTCTTTGAGTGAAGCTTAGGATTCTTCATTCAAAAACTGCTCCGATTTGGGGGTTTTCGGTTTTCTGCGACACTGACAGAACTGGACCGCAGGTCAATTTTGCAGGGTTTACCGGTGCTCCGATAAACCCGAAAAAATATGGAATCCTAATTATAAAGGACATGACAAACCGGCGAATCTTTGGACCTGCCTCCAAGAATAGCCAATCGCTTAAATGAAAGAGGAGAGTGAGAAAAGGGTAATTACACAGGAGCCACTTGCAAACATGCTTATCGAAGGCAGTTGTTAAATAAAATGTATGTCTTCATGCTCCAGTATGTCTTCCATCTCGGTATCAGCAGGCATCCCAGGCTGTCTATTTTCTGCGGGGGTTGCGGTCTCTCCAGGGCAATACATTTCCGCAAGGATCTCTGCATATTGAGAAAAACACCAAGTGACAGAATAAAAGCTATGCAGTTTTGTGCAATATTTCTCGTAGGTAGAAAATTTGAAATAGCTTTCAGCTCATCATGCCTAAGTCCCGTTAGAGTGACAAACAAAAATAAACAACAGCGACAAGCGATACCTTTGGCAGTCATTTAGTTGTCCGGTGCTCTCAAAGTAAGCACGGGTCATCGCAAGCCGGCCAAAGATACCCTCGCGTGCATGGTGCTCGTGTTTGAGGCGCGACGGTGTCGGTTGTTTCCGTTAGTCGCTTTGCCGTGACTCGGGCATTAGAGTCTGTCTGGAAAGCTGCACTCTTTATGAACACCTGCCTCCTGGCACGGAAGTGGGGGCTCCTTCACTCCAGTTTGTAGACATGGTGTTGTGTGAGGCTCCTTTTGTCTTGGGACAAACCAGGGTTCTGCCACGTCATCGTTACAATGCATACAAAATACGGCACAATCTGCAGTGCCCTTTGTTGTCCAAAACATTCTGTGCCTACCATCTGCACAGATTTGACCATCGGGGAACCCCAGGAACTTGAAAAGAACCCACGTGGGAGGCTGGACATCCTCCTCGCCAGCTTTACTCTTGCCTTTCGCCGCTCTCGTCTCTTAACATAGCGGTTGCGGATGGCCTTCCACATTCTGTGACATTCGATCACCTCCAAGCTTGAAACCGGGAACCTCATCAGGATGGTACGAACAAATGACAATAATTACAATCAAACGTTACGAAGGAATAAACAGCATTGACTTTACGGGTTGGAATCGCAAAGTCGACCTGCTCGTGCATCCTACAAAAGCGCAATGTTCACTACGGAAGTACCTGCGGAAACGTCTCGAGCATCTTCGAAGGATGTTCGTTCGATAAATGTGTGGGCTTCGAACATGTCTGCAGTCAGTTCTTGAGTGACCAATATGACCATCATGGAAGGAAAAGCCTCAGACAGTGTCCCTGAAGACCGTCTCTTGACCAATCAAGATTAGCAGTGTGATCGCAACTTAAGAGTATGTCACTGAAACATCTCGTCATTATGGTAGGTGCACGTGCCACCTCCCTTGCATCCAGTGGTGTAGCCAAGGAGGAGGCTATCACTTTGCCGCCAATGCACCAGCGGCTCCAAAGCTGGTCCTGTGTCGCTGTGTCGCCGTCGTCCATGTGCCAGGGACTGGAGTCGGCAGCTGTAGTGATTCGGAGCTCGAGGGCTCTGCGGGATGTTGCCGCCAATTGCGGCGCCGGACTCCACGTCCGTACAAAAGCGTTCAATTTTTGTACGTTAGCCACGGATGTTCTGATAAAATAAATCGACGTGACCCATCTCTTTTCACTGGACATGGGGGCTCCTTCCGAGACGTGCAGGAGGTCGTTCCTTTGGCTGCCTCTTAAAGCTTTGAGGCAAGGTTTTGGCAACACTGCAGAATTGGCGAGTTCCTCGATATTGTCGGCAGGCACGGACATAATAATAATAGTTTTATTTGACACGAATTCAGAGTTGTGATTCAAGTACGGCCCCGTCCAAACGAAGTAGGGCTCATGAGTCAGAACCCGGCAGGTGAGTGTCAAAAAAGTGTACTCGGTTGTTAGTGGCCCGACTAACGGGGGAAAGCGAAAAGTTGCGAGGTAATGGGAGAGTTTTACGTATATCATTGTAACTCTTTTACTGCCTTCCACTCATGCGCTAGTAAAATTTAAACAACATTCAAAAGTGCAATTTTTCTTTGACTTCACTTTTGTGAAGTCGCAACTAGTATGAAACTGGAAAAGGATATGGGTGACGACATAAAACTGTAAGTACTCCAAAATATTGTAACTGAATATCGCATAGCATGCTGCAAAAAGTCATCGGTGCAGATTGGCATATTTAAGTTTTTTAATACTATAATTTCCAACAGCGAATTAGTGGCCTACGAACAAAATGAGCCTGTTTGTGTTGAGTGTAATACAACTATCCAAAAAACCTTCAGCAGCGACTAAATAGCGTCATTGGTTACGACTTTAATAATATAAAGACACGTTCAATTACTTCATGGCCACATCCCTCCAAAATGCATACTATGGTTTAGGAGCGTATGAATTAGTTTTCTAAAAATCTGTCAAAACAGGGTTCATAACGGAACTTCCATGTTTATAATTAATACACAATAAAAGTTATTGAACAAAAGGTAAGGGTGCAAACGAGCTGGTGTTGGTTTAACATTTTGACTACCGTAAAATACCGGGCAAGCGCCCAATCAAATTTTGGAGATAATCGCAAAAAAATGGTGGATGAGTGCTTGTCCAGTCATCAATTTTACATATAAATGTGCGCATATTTTCTCAGATCTTGCAAATTCGGTAATGGGCGCTTAATGTGAAATGGGCGGATGCATGGTATTCTACGGTAAAAATCTCGAGACTGGGAAGCGAATGGATGGACAAACACAAGACCTTGTGTTTTTCCATCCCTTCCCAGTCTTGAGTCAAAATGTATAAAAGTTATGCTTGCTTCAAAGCACTATTTTTTGCAAAAGAATATAAAAAATACCTGAGCCATTAAAGGACACATGCAAAGGGAAAAAAAAAATTTTTTTAGACAGCTTAGATGGAAAAAGGATGTCATAAAACGATTTTACAACGAAGAAACAAAATTTTTAGAGCTATATTTACGGCGCTATACGAATTTGTAGTTGGCGCTCGCGGGAGCCGCCGCTGGTCACGTGGTAGGCCCGCGCGCCGCCGCGCTGCGTCGCCGCCGCACGCTGAGCGTTGTGCGAACGCCGCTTCAACGCGTTTCTCCACGCCGCCGTCGCCGCCGCCGCACAAGTTCGTCTGCTTCGGGGCGCCGCCGCCGTCGTCTGACCGGCGCACAGGTCTATCACGTCTGCTTGCACTTTTTCAGGAGTTTCCTTTGGGCTCTAAAAGTTACTTATTCGTCTTGGTTTTTTGTTATACTTCAAACAAAGATGAATAAGTTACTTTTAGAGGCCATAGGAAGGTTCCGAAAGAGCGCAAGCACCACGTGATAAATAAAGACCAGTCACGTGATAAATACAGACCACTTTTCCGCGGTGCCCGCGGGCGCCAACTACAAATTCGTTTTGCGCCGTAAATATAGCTCTAAAAATTTTTTTTCTTCGTTGTAAAATCGTTTTATGGCGTCCTTTTTCCATCTAAGCCGTTTAAAAAAAATGTTTTTTTTTCCTTTGCATGTGTCCTTTAACGTAATTGTGGCCGAAACAAATAGATATGTGTAAAACACATTTCTATTCACGCACGAGGGTCACACAATGCAACCGCTTTTCTGGATAGTCTGTAGTAAAGAATTACAGGACTGTTTATTAACTAGGTCCCATTTGTAATTTGTGGAATGAGACAACACAATGCACCAACTTCAACTGGTTCGTTAGAAAATCAAGGGTATAAATACTCTGCATCATCGCGCCCTTCAACCAATCCCATGCCACGCCACTGATCTCAAGAACTGTGTCTCTTTGTCGCCCAAATCGATCGACGCCACGCTGACACATCGATCTCCGTAGTTTTTTTATCAGGTCTGCCTCTATAATTTTGCTTACTGTATTATCTCTGTTTTCTAATAACAGTGCACAAATTAAATTCAGGTTTGCACCCACAGTCATGGAAGTGCATCGACAAATGACCGTCACGTTTTCTAGCCTGCTCACTAGACATAAAGAATTTATACTATTCCCTTCCGCACGACAAACTACTGACCTGCGTAGAGGAAAGCATCGATAAACACGGGGTGGTGGCCTTTCAGAACGCAGCAGGAATGACTGTAGATGACTTTCTCGAATTGCTTACATTTGATCTAAACTCGACCTTTGTTGAGTGGAACAGGGGAGTGTATATTCAGAAGCGAGGGGTGTGTATTTGCTAGTGTTTAGCTCCAGTTTTACGTGATATATTTTTAGCCCATCATGACAGAGTTCTCTCGGAATGCCTGAATGACTTTAATGGTAGCAAGGTTTTTAGATTCGTCGACAATTATTTAGTTTTTCTTCACCATGATGTTTCTCACTTTTCCTTGGTGGTGAACAGCCTTTTAACAGTTTTTAGTACCATCCTTGATCCTCTCAAGCTTACGCACGAGGTACTTGTGGACAACGTCATACAGTTTCTAGATATCAGGCTCACACTTTTGGAACAACACGTGTGTTGGAAATACCAACCAAGAGCAGATAAGCCCCTGTTGCCGTTCAATTCATCTCATTTGAAACTTGTTAAGAGAGGAATTGTAAATTTGTGCTTTGTGAACTCCATCAGAAGGTTGTGTCATCATGCAATGCCTTAAAGTCTGAAGGAGCAGTCAGAACGCTTGGTGGCTGCCGGTTTTCCAGGGACGCTCCTGGTGTCGGCTGCAGAAAAAGTTGTAAAGAAGCTACGAGTAGTAGCGAGTCCAGACCAAGATGTGGCTCAAAAGAAACAAAGTCTGGCGGTTGTGCCTTACATGCACAAAACCGCACGCAATATCAAAAAGATAGCAAACCACGTAAATGCTCGGGTGGTTCTTTCTGCACCGGAAAAACTTGCCAAGTTGTGCAAAATGACGGACCCTCACCGCAAACCACCGGTTGGCTGCGTGAAGAAGCATCGCAGCTTGTTTGTAGAATGCGCAGCGAGAGTCGTCTATCAGATCTCGCTGACGTGCGGTAAAAAGTATGTGGGACAGACGGGAAGATGTCTAAATGACAGATTGCGCGAACACAACCAAAAAGTGAGCGGACAGCTTGACGATCATTTGGCAATGCACTGCCTTGACTGTGGGTGCAAACCTGAATTTAATTTGTGCACTGTTATTAGAAAACATAAAGATAAGGCGGTAAGGGAAAGTTTTACACATGCACACGCCCTAAATTTTTACACATGCAGAAATCAAGAGGGGGGTCAGGACATCCGGACCTCCCCTCTGAATCCGTTCCTGGCTGAAACTACCGTTTGCAATTCGACATTGGAAGCAATTGCCAAACTTGTGGTTCCTTAGCAAATCTCAAATTGTTTTGCAGCCATACAAATCCCAATATTGACCAGTAGATGGGCGATATGGGACAGGCACGTCAGAAGCCACCTCTCTTCTCATTTGTGTGTTGGCAAGAAGTTGTCACTGAAATATTGCCTGACCGTAGACTGCAAAACGGATTTAATTTTGTTTCGTTAGTTGATAATAAACGATAATAGTCAACAGCCGAGAATGATCTCGCTCTCACCCATGACCAAAATAGGAGCCCTGAAGGTAATTTTGGCCACCAACTGGTTGACGTCAACTTAGCCAGCTTGTCTGCACTCCGAATAAAGACCGGTAGCTACGAAAATGAAATAAAAAGTGAGTTTCAGACGCTATTCTTTTTTGTCGCCGATGGCTCGAGCACATGAGGTAAATCTTGACGCGAAAGAAATCAAGTGACCTCGAGAACACTTCCTCCGCACATAGAATAACGTGGGGCAAACATCTGTCAACATGGCATCTAGCTTAGTGTGTGGGAGGAATCAAGATGCTTCCTTTCGTAACAACAGTCAGGCATTCTTTCACAATGTCCTTGACCTTCATTTTACTTTACCACAAGACTCTGTAGGAGAAAGCAGGTGATCCCAAATCGGTTCTAGATTTTCTTACCGTGTAAGCAAACTTGCCTCTGGGCTCACGCCTCATTTTTCAACGTCTGCTGCCGCTGCAGAAGTGGACGCCACTCCCCCCGCAACAGGGAGCACTTTGGTGCTGATGGAAGAGAGTAAAAATGTTTTAAACTCAGACCCGATATCAACTGTGCTTGTTCTTAGCAGTAAGTGATGTAGCATATCACCGTCGGTGCTGAATCTGGCCCTTAAGGAAGGCCAGTTACTTGAAGAGGTGCCATGTTGGCACGGCAAGACCATCGCGGCCAGCACCGCTCCGGCCTCTTTGTTTCTTCGATTCTCTCGCATACTTGGCCCTCATGGCCAGCCAAGCCTGACAGCAGGCGTTAGAGTCGCTGCCTGAAGTGAATGAAGTAAATGTGGCATAAATAACTAAAGTATCGCTTATGAATACAAGTTTTAGAACAGAAATCATGATGGAACTAGATTTATAACACAACTTCAATTAGGACAGCCAATAGGTGCAACAGACATGCACCAGGTTTGCTTGCCAGTATTCAACCCAAACTTTACAAACCTCCTTCAGCATCCTGAAATGTAGTCTTTTTATGTTCTGCCTGTTTGATCTCTTCATTACTGATCGCTCGATTAATAATGGCTTCCCATTTCGTGCCATGACTTTGGGAAATGGTTATGCGAGGTACGCAAACGAGAGGTGCGAGCAGTGGGTTGTGGGTGGGTGTGCGCTGCCCACTCGGACGTGAATGGTCACAGACAGCTGCAGGGAGGCCGCATCTGTGGCTCCGAGGCAAACCGCCGGCCCAAAGAATCGAATCCCCAGTTGTTGGGTTGGAATCCTAGCTGGAGAGAAGGTGCCAGGTAACCGAGATTTCAGTTTCACGTTCAAAAAATCCCAGGTGATGTAAGTTAATCGCTGAGGTATGCGACGGCCTTCCTTGATTTGGCATGCAGAACTTCGCAAACGTTTCTTTGCGAATGGCAGGGAAGTCTATTGGCACTATCGCCTCCGGCGTGACCCAAAACAAATCTTTGATAACACTTTGGCGTCTTGCGAGCTTCGAGTGTACGCCCAGGCGCGTGCAGCTGACCGTCAACGGGAACGTTCATGCATAGTGAAAGTTAGACAGAAGGCAGCAAGCGTGCGACGAAGGCAGGCCGTCCAGAGGTGCCCTGGGTTGAGGCGCAAATTATATAGTTCTGTTAAGAGGTCATACTAAGCGATTCCAATTGCCTTCCAGGAATTTTTGCGCTTCCCAGTGTCCCTGTAGTCCATACGGCTTGCGTTCCATAGCCATGGACACCGCTCAATTTCGATGATGAGTGCTTCTGAGCAAGGAGCCACTGGAGGAGCTGCCATGTTGTCAACGGAGAACAGACTCATGACTGGCATACAACGCCTTGATTCGTGATTGGTCTGTTCCCATACTGTGATATTTAGTCAGACCTGTGTATACAAAAAGTACAAGGGACAAAAACGGATCCATTATGCTTTGTACCATGCACATCTAGCATGCAAATTACGAATTCAGAACCAATGAATACTTTCGTGAAACTTTCATTTGCATTTAATTTTTTTATGTTATTGTACTGCGCAATTATTCTTTTGTTTCTGAAGAAAGCCTGTGTTATGGGGACTAGCCGAGAAACCAAAGTAAAAAAAAGTCATAAATTTATATTTTGATAACTGACGCTGGCTTTAGTGTTTTAAAGGAAACCTGGTAAGCGGGAGGTAGATGCACAACAAAAATAACCTGAAAAGTTTGAAGTTGCTTGTATAAAGTGAAGCAGAGTAATAGCGAAACAATTCGAGTCATTGGGTGGCATTGAGCCATGGCGTTGATGCAAAATGCGCTGCAAAAATCGACACCTGCATATACCCACATTTTCATCGAACGTGTATTGTATAGGGAGACACATTCTTGTGAAATCTCTCGGTGTAGTTGACTCGTTCCTGTAAAAATTTAGAACATCTTCACCGAGGGCAATGACGAAAAGGTTAGCAGATAACTTTCGGTCGTGTTTGGTGCTCCGGACGAGAGATGGTGCCACCTTTCTGTTTGGAATGTCAAGAACGAAAGAGGGGAGGGGAGAGCCGTCCCTCCCTCTTTCCTTGACGGTCGCCCGACCTCCCATCCCGGTAATCATCTTCCGATGATGGACTGCAGTGCTTTGTCATTCTTGTTTATTTTCGCAGTTATGGTTGCTGCAAATATATCCCATGGTTGAACGTTAGGAAAGTACAATACTTCTGGCTAGTGAAAATCAATTACAACAAACTCCCATGAAACTGAACACACTTAAACTGAATTCATGGATACGTGGAACAAAGTTGGAATGTTTGGTTGGTTTCTTGTAGATTCTATGCAGAAAAAGCTTGCTTAACACAAACCACTTCGCATGCCCATTTGTTGGTTCAAACGTTTGCAGCATAGTGCACATTCTGTGCAACTTCCCTTAGTGGGGAAGCTGCTGAGGCTGCCGCACAATGTCTCCTACCCTGGGACGACGGAACGGGAGTTTGTAGGAGAGAGAATATTGGTGTTGACAGCAGTGGCAGAGGATTACCCACATTTCCTGCCATATTGCCGCCACGCTCATAGCCGAAGACAAATGTAGTCAAAGCTCTCGAGATAGACAGTCGTGTCAGTCGTGTTGTATAATCTTACTCTATAGCAGTGGCTCTCAACGAGGTGTGTGTTGTGGACCACAAATGCTGTAGCAACGTTCACAATTTTTGCCTTGCCATCTGACGATGGTTACATCGCCCTTTCTCTCGCCTTTTGCATCGAGGCTCTATCGTCCTTCTCGCCTTATTTCGTTTTCACTTTTCAGTGCACATCCCTGCAGCCTGTATGCGCGGATAGCACTGACGGCCCAGATACTGACGGCATTGAGTTCTCGGAGTAGTGGAAGTAATGTGTAGTAGTTGTCAAAGAAACACTTAAAGTTCCTGAACTTTGGCAAGTGTTTCATGAGCCTCATCACAATGGAGCCACCAATTTTGAGGTGCTTGTGCTCGAGCGATTTCCCCATTTCTTTTCCCTGATACAGCTTGAAGTCACTTTGCCATAGTATGTGAGCTGCAGCGGACAAACACTGACACCTCCAGGGTTAGGTTTGTTTTTGCAGAAATCGCTTGGCCGCAACTCTACTTATGAAAGGGATCATCTGCTCATCAATGCTGTTGTTCTCGAATGTAGTAAGTTCCAGATACCTCTGTCTGACAGCATCCAGCACGGGGTGCACCTTCCAAAACTTATCAGTTAGAGCCCGGGGCGAAGATGTCTCCGTGCCGTGCAAAGCTGACCGGAGCTTGAAAAATCTGTTGACCCCCATCGCCTCCGATACGCTGGGGATCTGCGTTGCCGGCTGCCGGTACATACGTATGCGGGGAAACTTGGGCGTCCCCATGATCATCATCATCCCGAAGAATGCTTTAACATCCTCCGGAGTGTTTCCGAGATTTGTTTCCCGAGGTGTGCAGTCCGTAAATGTTCATGCACCCCGCAAACTATACGAATGGTGAGTTCAGAAAATACCTTCGAAAGTATTCCCATGGCTCAGCCACCTCCTCTAAAGTCATGTGGTTGTCATCCAATGTTGTGTCAGGGGGCTCGAAATCGCTGCTTGTCCAAACAGTCTGCACCTTTTGATTACGCGCTTCCTCCGCTTCATCATTTTCCTCTGGAGCAGGAGCCGGCTGTTGCAGCCCTGAAGGCCTGCCTCGTGTTCCAGGGGGTTGACCTAAGTGACAAAAGGCATTCTCTTTAACTTAGCTAAGCAGTTAACAATGTCATCCAAATATTTAAAGCGCCTGTACTCGCAGATCGATGAGGCTCTCTGTCCTCCTTAACAGAGAGGCCGACATCGGATGCATTTCCATCGGAAATTTGCATTAGCAACCTCTGTGCTGTGGCACTGCCGACCCTCGTGCGATTTCTCGCATGATTTCGGATGTCTGAATTGGGAAGAAGCAACACATTGTCACTAGAATATATGAATTTCCAATGAAAAGCTCCTTGCAAGAATGCTAACGGCACTATAGCACTAATGTTTTCTTCGAAGAACATTTTTGCACAATGTGGCCATAGCGGCACGCTGTACGTGGGGGGATCGGTGGCCGAGTGGGCTAAAGCGCATACCCAGCTCGACGCGCGTGGAGCGAAAGATCGCGCTGCAGAACCCAGGGATCCTGGGTTCGAGCCCCACCCCTGCCCGTTTCGATCTGGATGAGCATCGTACCGGCGTGCGGTCGTGTATCACTACTGCGTGGCGCACGTTAAAGACCCCAGGTTAGCAGTCGTACTGCACTGGCGAAATTGCTCATCTACAGTGTAAACCAGTGTCGCCTGATCCTGGCAGACCGACCTTACACTGTATAAATCACTAAACGTCCAATTTTTGACACATGTGTTTGTGAAATTCACTAATCCGTTAGAGAAGCAATTACTGCATCCTAACATTTCAAGCTACTGTGTTACATTCATTAGCATCTTTGGAATGCTTAGGCATGCAGCAAGTCTCGTCAGAAAACATCCAATTAAGCAAAGATTTGTTTTTCGGAGCCACTCGCCACCCGCGTCGCTGTAGAACAAGGAGGCATCCATCTTGCAACGGTGTTATTAATTGTAGTTAAAGGCAGCCACGGCAGATGGCGCCACCAACCCGCTCCATAAGGTGTACACGATCGTGTACAACCTGTCTCCAGCGGTACAGGCCCACATCTAAAGAGTAAATAAATTTGCAAAGTCGAATACACAAATGTGTAAGCCATGTCTAGAGCCCTGCTCGGATAACAGTTTGATTATGCGCATCCGATCTGCATCTGCAGACTTTGGATCCGCATCCGAACCGCATCCTCAAACTTTTTACATTATTGTATCCAACCCGCATCCGCATACTTTGTACCCGTATCCGAACCAGATCCACAAAATGTGGAACCACATCCGACTCACAATCCAAGTATTCATTGTATAACAAAACACCAAGCGTGAATGAAAAAAAAATTCAAATAGCACTTTTTAAGCTGTTTGCTGATCTTTGTACAAAGAAATTTTTGTGTGACCATTCAAAGGGGATGTCATTTTATCATTATCAGTTTCATTGTAATTATATTAAAAGCGATCAGCCTTCCCGAGACACTGTGCGTCGAAAAAAAAAATTATCTGAGTTATGTGATTGTCAAACAGGATAGTTGGGCGAATTGGTATGTATTCATAATGAAACAGCGCGAATTTTACAGGGATAGAGGAAGGAACTGGACAGGACGAGCGCTGACTAACAACTGAAAAGTTTATTATCAGGAAATCACGAAGGAAACGTACAACAACACGACTCTCCAATCACGATGGAAATGCGCATGCGCCTCACAAGATTGGGTGCTATCTGTTACACAATTCTATGTGCGTC